AAAGCGAGACTCTGTCTCAAAAAAAAAAAAAAAAAAAGATACCACTTGGCAAGTAAGAGAAGACAGTAAAATTAAGGACCTAGGTGATGATGTTATATTCGTTGCAGATGATCAGAAGCAAAAACATTAAGGAATGGCCAGCTCTGATTCATGTCTTGACTGACAGGTGATTGGACACACAGTTTTTAAACTTGCAGATTAATTTTTATTTCAGATACAATTTCATGGGCAAATTGTATATGTCTATCAAAATCTGATTTAACTTAGGAATTGATGTTAAATAATGGAACAAAAAGAAAAAGAATAGAAAATTATGTATATTATTATGCCTGTGTTTTTATTTTTTATGTAATAATTCAGCAAAACAACTGTGTTTTTAAAACAATCACATAATATGAATGAAAGACTAGTTGAAAACAATAATAGTGGTTGTATTGGAGATAGAGGATTATAGGTAATTTTCTTACTTCTATATTTAAATTTGTTTAGAATAAAGAAAGTAATATATTTTGAGACTTAAGCTTTACTTATGGGGACCATGTTTATGGAAATAAACTTTTCTTGTACATGTCCCTGCTTTTTAAAATAGTGTTTCAAGTCAGTATGGCATGGTGGTTAGGAGAAGCTATAGGCTTTGGAATCATTGATACTCAGCTTCAGATTCTGGTTCTGTCACTTTATCTGTAAAACAGGACTAATAATGTCTGCCTTGGATGGTTATTTTAATTGAAATAATCTATGTATACACTCAAACTACCATTGTGGGCAAACTGTAATTTTAAGATGATTCAGGATCATAACGACCCTCAGTTTTATTTTTCTGTGCTATTGCATAGCACCTTTTCATTTTTCTTCTTAGCTCTAAGGCTACCAGCTCTCTAGTTGTATTATTAGGGTGTTTAACATCTGAATTCTTCAACACAGAATACTATGTATTTAGAAAAAATAAAAATGTGAGTATATTTTATATGTTCTATTTTTAGTTACCTGGTGGGAGATGAATTGTTTGTGGTAATGGAGTACCTTGCTGGTGGGTCACTTACTGATGTTGTGACAGAAACCTGCATGGATGAAGCACAGATTGCTGCTGTATGCAGAGAGGTGGGTTTGCTCCCCTTTTGATCAGTTACAGTGATACATAGTTAACAGGAGGCGAAAAAAGGAAAGTTTTTTTTGCACAGGTAATTATTAATATTATTGTGTGAGATACTTTCTCTGTATACATTCTCTGCAAGTTACTGTATCTCCATACCATTTTATTCTACATGAGAGTTTCAGCCCTTTCAATTGTAAGATAATTTGGGGATGAATTATGGACCTCTAAAGAGCTGAATTCACAGGTAAATTTCAGTAGGGTGATCATGATAGTTTGCCATCCTAATAGGATGCTTTCAAGAGTAAAAGGGCATGCCATTAAAAATACACCACTCAGCAGTGGAAGCTTAGGGGCATCTTGGGTAAAGCAGGACACATATTCACCTTAAGTATCAATAAATCTGCTTCTGGCTTTATTGGGTTCACTGACATGAAGAAACTGTTGTTTCTTTATATTCATTAATGAATTTCTAGACTTACTGTTTGCTTAAGCCAGTAGAATTTTGCCAAATTGCCTAAGTCTAAGCCAAAAACAAGCCTTCCTTCTTATATCTATATCTAATCTTTTTCTACAGGTGAGACTTGGGTTAATGGTTTGCATGTTATTATTGAAATGTCAAATATCATAAGAATCATTGTCAAAAGGGCAAAATTTATAAATGTAATTTAAAAGTTTATAAGATCAGGTGGTGGATACCCTAAAAGCCCTGACTTGACCACTACACAGCTCTCTGCATGTAACAAAATTACACATGCATTCCATAGATACGTACACATAAAAAACAAAAGGCAAATCTAAGCAAATAAAAGTTTATCAGGCTATGTTATGTTTTCTGTGATTTGGCTTGCAACAATTCTACAGTGACACATAAGTAAATTACAAACTTTGTTCATGTTACAATACATATGATGTTTTCATTTTTCAGCTTTCATTAAGGTGTTAAATATTCCTTGAAAACTTTAATTCTAGGTTAATTGTGTTCCACCTGAGGGGTAGTACCTCTTTGGTTGAAAGGAGGAAAGAAGAACTCTTTAATAATTATTAATACGATATCTCTTAACAAAGAATGTTGGTCACTTAAAAGCTGATAAAAAGAAGTTATTTATA